AGGTATATTACCATGCCCATTTTATAGATGAGGACATGGAGGTTTAAAGAAGTTAAGAGCACTGTCTACGATCCCAATGCTAGTTTAAAAGAACTGGCTTATAAACCCAGGGGGATGGATACAGAGGCACAGAAAATTCCCCGCCAGCACCACTACCAACCTGGAGAATGTCCATGAAGGAAAGAGAAGCCCTTTCCAGGAGCTCCGACAAAGTGGCTGACACCTTGATCAAGGATCTGTGGGCCTTTGTCACATATCCTGGCAAAGGCAGCTCCAGCCTGAACTGCTGTCAGGCTCAGGACCCAGCCGTACTCAGAAGTGACCCTAGGAGGACCAGTTTCTCTTCCGGAGGCATCTACAGAGCACCTTCTCACCAGCTGTATCTACTCACAATCATCTGGCAATTCGGATGTGGTTGAGTTTGAGTCCCTCAATACCCAGAAAATCAGAGCCTCCAGGACCTGCCCCTAATCAGGAATTTTTCAGATCTCCCTTCTGGGTCCTTTGGTCCCTAAGCCTCTGGCTTTGGCATTCCTGGTAGGAATCCTTGCAGAGAGCCATCCTGGTACCTAAGGAAAGAGGGCGAGAGGAGGGAAGGAACAGAGTCCCCTCCCTGCTCCGCACCCTCCCGGAAAGCCCAGCTGGCCACCCCACCCCCAGCCAGCAGTTTCTCACCTTCAGGCAAAGGCAGATGATGGCAGAGCTGGGGAGCAGAACTTAACTGAGCCATGGGGCACAGCAAATCCCTGCCATTAGTATTTAGGGAATGTGAGTCACAGAGGATGAGGGGGAGAAAGAGGCAGTGGGAGAGGAAGGTGGAGGTGCTCAGAGACGCAGAGATCACCAGGAGGGATTGCAGAGAGAGACAGAAGAGGAGGGTGTGAAGGAGGAAGAGAAAGGAGACTGAGGTGGGTGGGAGAGAGGCATAGAAAGGGGGGAGGGAAGAGAGAGACAGAAAGAGCCAGTTGCTTTATTCATGGCTGGTGATATTATAGACTCAGTGAAAATCACATTATCGTAATGGGAAAGTTAGAGTTGCTGAGATGATGCCCTGAAGCCTCTGCGCTGATTGGGGTGTGATTGCTATCTGTATTTATATGTAGAAAGCAAAGTTCACTGCCAGTTCAAGATGGTGGCGGCTGCTTTATGCAACATAATTCTTCAGTAGGGAGACGCCCCGAGCAAGCTGAGCACACCGGGCCGGGAGTGGGAACGGGAGGCGGATCGGGAGCCGGCGATGGAGCCTGGGGTGGAGCCGAGAGGGGCTCAGCAGCGGAGGACAGACACCAGGAACCAGAGGGGGAGCAGGGGCAGCGCCTGGGGCCGGAGTCCAGCCCGAGGCCTGACGGGGGTGGGGCAGCGGGAAACTTGAGAACTTGGGGATTTAGGGGTCGGGAGTCCCTCCCACCATCTGTCCCCTCTCTGGCCCGCCCAGAGTTAGACTCCCCGTAAGAGTAAAGAGGAGGAGCTGGAACCCCAAAGGCAGAGCTGGGCTAGACCTTCCTAAACCTTGGCCAGATTTTACAATTGACCCCACCCTCATCCGCACTGTATAATTCACTGCTAAATCGGAGAGTGAATGTCGGGAAGGTTTCCTTCTTTCCCATGAGGACTGCTTGACGCTTTTTTTTTTTTTTGACATGTCAAATGTCTTGATTTTTGTTTTGTTTTGCTTTTTTTGAGATGGAGTTTTGCTCTTTTTTCCCAGGCTGGAATGCAACTGCATGATCTCGTCTGACTGCAACCTCTGCCTCCTGGGTTCAAATGATTCTCCTGCCTCAGCCTCCGGAGTAGCTGGGATCACACGTACTTTTAGTAGAGACAGGGTTTCAACACATTGGCCAGGCTGGTCTCGAACTCCTGACCTGAGGTGATCCACCGGACTCTGCCTCCCAAAGTGCTGGGATTACAGGCATGAGCCAGCGCATCCCACCAAATGTCTTGATTTCTTTCTTTCTTTCTTTCTTTTTTAACAAAATATATATTTTTCTTTTTCACCATGTTGGTCAGGCTGGTCTTAAACTCCCGACCTCAGGTGATTCACCTGCCTTGGCCTCCAAAGTGCTTGGATTACAAGCGTGAGCCACCATGTCTGGCCGATTTTTTTCTTTAATTTTTCATTTCTTTTTCGGAGATCCCTGCTGTGCTGGTGCACCACTTGTGGTTTGCTTGGTCTGTTGAGCAGCCCAGTACTGGGATGAAAAATCCCTTTTGATTGGTAAATGGGTGTGATCTCTGATATCCCCAGCACAGAGCCCGGGAAGCTGAACAGGGCACCCCAGACTTCAAGCCCTGCCTGTCCTAGCAACACTCAGGAAGGGAGAAAAGGGCTGTTAGGGCAGCCTTCAGAATCCAGTTGAGCTCAGATCATCCCTTACTTGAGGCCTGTTCCTCTCAGGACTCTCTTAGGAAACCGGGGCAGAGCTGGACTAGGCTGTCACCACACTTCCCCCCAAGAAGTGCCAGATAAAATACAGGGTACCTGATTAAATTTGAATTTCAGACAAACAACAAATTTTTAGTATATTCCATGCACTATTTTGGATGTATTTATACTTAGCTATTTGTTGTTTTTATGAAATTCAAATTTAATTGGGCATCCTGTATTTGCATTTGCTAAGTCTGGTAACCCTACCCTACCCCCACCTTGCCTATTGACCTCAGGTTTTGTATTGATTGAGGAAGGCAGTGCCCTTGAGTGGAAACATCCAGATTCCCCAGTTAATAGCTGTGTGGTTTTGGACTGGTTTTTAACCTCTTAGAGCCTCAATCTCCTTATCTGAGCAATAGGAGATAATAATACCTCACCAATGGTTATAAACATTTAATGAAATAAAGTAAGTAAAAGGCTCAGTTCAATGGCACAAAATAAATGACCAAAAAAAAGAAACTCAAAAAACAAAAATCAAAGAAACAAACCCAAAACCCAAAATCTGACACTCAGTAAACAGCAGCTATAAAAGATTAGCTCCTGGCCAGGCACGGTGGCTCACTCCTGTAATCCCAGCACTTTGGGAGGCTGAGATGAGCGGATCATGAGGTCAGGAGATTGAGACCATCCTGGCCAACATGGTGAAATCCTGTTTATACTAAAATACAAAAAAAAAAAAATTAGCTGGGTGTAGTGGTACACGCCTGTACTCCCAGCTACTCAGGAGGCTGAGGAAGGGAAATCGCTTGAACCTGGGAGGTTGGAGGTTGCAGTGATCTGAGATCGCACCACTGCACTCCAGCTTGGTGACAGAGTGAGATTCTGTCTTAAAAAAAAAAAAAATCAGCTCCATTACAAAGTCACCCTTTTCTTCCATTCCCATCACCATCCTAAGCTTCTTAGAATCCAAATAAAAGGCTTATATCAGGATTCCTGCCTTAGAAGCCACTGCCTATGTGAGAGCATCTCAGCGATAGATATGATCTAAGTATGGGCCCCCCATGGTGGAGCCTGACTCTATAGCCACTGAGAGTTCTAGAAAGCTGATTGCAAGGAAGAAGCAGGCACTAAGAGCCAGCCTATCCTCAACTTCAAACCAAGCCTCACATGTTTCCAGCTACTCTTCCAAGCTTTTAAAACAAAATAGAATCGATCCTCCTTTGGGCCCTTAAACTTCCCTTTCTCCCAGGGAGACAGAGGATGGGCAGGGTGGTGATATGATGCCGGGCAGGAAGGAGGGCTCTGCCTACCTGAGAGGCCACACAACGGACTGTCTGAGCAAGCAGTCTACCCAACGGCCAGCCCATCAGCGTGTCAGGCCAAATCCCTTTCCATCCTCTGCCAGGGGCCCATGTCCAGGACACACCAGTTGGAAACTAGTGTGTGCCTCAGGGTCTCTGTGCTTGTTCTCCTTCTAGCTCTTACATCTCAGCCTCAGCTCAGAACCCACTTGATGAAGGCAAGAGGCAGTGTGCAAAATAGGGGGTTTGGAGTCCCACAGAGGCAAACTGGGGTCTATTATCACCTGTATGCTCCCGGTCCCCTCTCTCGTAGAAGGTTGGGACTTGTTTGCTTCCCTTATACAGATGTTTCTGACTCAGAAGAAAAAAAAGTAGCTTCCAGTACCCTTCAGTCCCAGAGAAGCTGGTAGTTGGACCCCAGCCATTATCTCTGAGGGAAGCTAATGATCCAAAAGCTAACTGATGGGCAAATAGGGGCCTCTCTACTTTAAGAGCTCACAGAGTCTGCTGGGCGTGGTGGCTCACGCCTGTGATCTCAGCACTTAGGGAGGCTGAGGCAGGCAGATCATCTGGGGTCAGGAGTTCGAGACCAGCCTGGCCAACATGGTGAAACCCCATCTCTATTAAAATACAAAGAATTGATCAGGTGTGGTGGCATATGCCTGTAGTCCCAGCTATTCCGGAGGTAGGGGAATCGTTTGAATCCGGAGGTGGAGGTTGCAGTGAGCTGAGACCACGCCACTGCACTCCGGCCTGGCGACAAAGCAAGACTCCATTTCAAAAATAAATAAATAAATAAATAAATAAAGATCACAGAGTCAAGACTTTAGTGCTAGGCAGGTCACATGAGTGAAGGAAGTAGTGAAATGCAATAGAGAGCGGCAGGGTCTGTGGCTATACCTGAGAAGCACATTTTTCCTAAAGGTATTCAATTTCTTGTTTGTTTTAAACACTGTGCTCATCAAACCAAACACCCAAGTGCTCTATGGGCAACCCCCTAGTTTCTTGCTCTTCTTTCTATTGACACAGGTATCCTCAGCCACATGGTCACAAAGCATTGTCACAGAGTAAAGAGATACCACACGTGCAGATACGCTGACCCATGAGGATGTACAGAGCCATCTGCAAGTATATCAATACCATACCCCGAAGGAGCAGAGCACCTGTAAGGAAAGTTCAGGGACACTCACAGGGGAGTGGCCCATCTTCCTGTCCACCTCTTGCCAGCCTCCCACCTCTTGCCTCCTCTTTCTTGCACCCAACCCTGCTCTTCACACCATCTCATCCCCTTGCCTCTGTCTCTGGGAATGGAACTCTCCCTTGCCCCCTGGTGATGTGCTGTTCGTGGGGGTCCTGCAATACCAGGTTGATGCATAGGAGTAGATGGAGCAAGCTCCTTTTCCATCCCCCTGCTCCAGAAACCCATGTTGTCCTCAGATAGAGGATGTAACAGATGTTAAGCTGGTAAAAACATACTACATTTGATCCTAGCCAACAGACTGAGAGGTGATAGGAGTGGAACTCTATAGAACCCACAGGGTGTGAGTGGAAATGGTGGGGCGGAGGTGCTCTGCACAGCTAACCTCTGTAGTAGCACCATCACACATGCATCTGGGGACCCTAGGACATACCCTCCTGCTTTTTATCCTCACAGTAAGCCTGTATGGGGCTTCTGGGGAAAATTGATTCTCTTTTCCCTTCTTTAAGGCACACCTTTCACTCTGGAGCTCTGGAGTGGGCCTTAGCTCCTCTACTCAATCAATCACCAGTTAAAAATTCAGGAATTCTACAGAAGCTCCTAAAATCTCAGGGTATTAGAAAAGGTCACTGAAAGTTCATCTCTGCCATTCTCCTGCTTCCGGGCAAGGGTGATCCTCTTCATGGAGACAGGTGGCACTGAGAATCTACACACTCCCTTGGCCCTACTTAGCCTTGATATCAGGAAGTTGAACTCTAGTCCCAGTGATTTAATCTGTGTTTGTTAATCACTCCACCAGGACATGTGAAGCTCCTCTCCCAAGGGATACCTAGACAACCCCAAGACCTCCTGGGGGGACCATGCCTTACAGCAGAAACCTTAGGTGCTTAGGCCATTGATCCCAGAAGGATCCCAAAAGGGGTGTAGGGTCTGGGGCTTTTCCATGCTCTTTCTGGTACATTTCCTCTTTGGCCATCAGTGCTAGAACCTAAGAAACCGCTTCCTAGGCTTAGTCATTTCAGCGAAACAGAAGTAGATCAATCAATTGCGATAAACAAAAGAAAATAAATTTAAGTTCAAGACTCTTGTGAAGATCCTGATAACTGACTTCTGAATGATTCACAGGAGTTTTCTGTGCTCCTGTTCCTTTCCTTTTCATGATTATAACTACTGTTGATCACCGCCAGCATCTTATTGAAGCTGGGATGTCACCACGTTAGAGAATGAGTACCCAATCACATGGGGGTGGGCCAGGAGGCAGTAGAGGGCCCATCAAATAATGTTTTGTCATCGTAGAGGTGAGGAGAAAGTCCAAACACCTCTGTCTTGTCTTGGAGATGTGAGGTTTTGAGGATGAAAGTGAGCTGCCTCCAAGGACAGGAGGTTTGTCTGGCAGCTCATTTATTCAGATTCCTCTGAGGTTCCTATTTTAAGTCCCATTTGGCCTGTGTCAGTGCATCTATGTTGGGGGACTGTGCATATGTCCCTGATTCCTGAAGTGACCCACCACTCTTCAAGAGGAATTCAGGTTTGACGAGAATATACTGCTGTAGCGGAGAGATGAGGCACCAGCCCCAAAACCATCCCCAACTCCCCTCACTGGCCAGAGATGAGAGAAAAGAAAATAGCCCCGAGGGGTGGGGAGCGTGCCTGTAATCCCAGGTACTTGGGAGGCTGAGGGAGGAGAATCGCTTGAACCCAGGAGGCAGAGGTTGCGGTGAGCCGAGATCTCAGCACAGCAAGAGGAGCGAAACTCCATCTCAAAAGAAAAGAAAAAAAAAGAAAATAGCCCCATGCCCCTGGGACAGAGAAAGGCTAATCTGCTCAAAAGCTGGAGGCTGGAGGCTGGCAAAAATGACCCCTGCCTGGGATGGATGTCAAAGGAATGTCTCTGAGGAAATGTCATTTCACTCCCCCAGAGGGCTCTGGAGGTGGTTGGTAATCCACCCGTGCTCCCCCTACTCGAGTGCCCCCCACAACCCACTCCCCTGCAACACATGCACACTCGCGTGCACACACGCACACACACATACACATAAATCTTGATTGTGTCCAGGGCTTTTTACAGCATTAATTAATCATATTTAGGGCTGTTTCCAGCTGTTGCTGAGGGAAAGAAGGTCCCACACGCCTGTGACTTAGGGTAAATCCAATCAGACGGAGGAATTCTTTGATTCTGGAGAAGTCGAGCCTGGGAAAGACACTGCTAATCCCAGAGCCTCTCCGGGTCCTGCCTGCCACCTCCCTATCATTGCCTTTGGAAACTGATCCGAGCTGAAGAAGGGGACGGAGCCGGGGGTGGGGGTGGGGGTGGGGGTGGGGGTGGGGGGTGGACACGGAAGTGCGCACAGGGCTTTGCTGAGCTGAGCAGACTGCCTGGGGCCTGCTTCAGATGAAAGGAAGGTTGATAGGAAGGAGGTGTTAGGGCCTCAGTGCTGACCAGGAGCTTCTGTCCCTTTGCTTAGGCCATTTAGTGAGCTTGGGAGGTCCCTGATTCCTGGGGCTACTGGGCCCGAATTATTACAGGAGGCTGGGCCTGAACTAGCAGACCAGCAGGAGGGCAGAATTGACCTAATTACAGTTCTGCACCGTCAGTGTGGTCTGAGAGGTGGCCTCGCCGAAGCCTTTCTTCTCGCCTTTGACTTCTCCCGAAGCCCGGTGGCATCACTCTTGGCTCCTTCCGGCTCTTGCATGTGTCTCTCCATGCCTGGGCTTCTTTATCTCTCTCTTCCTAGGGCTCTGCAGCTGAATTTCTGACTCTTCTACTGATCTCTGAAATCCCAGGGCACTACCTCACACCTTCATGGAGGCAGATGAAGCTTCAGACAGGGACATCTTCAGGGGAGGGGCAGCCTGGCAGGTGCTAATGACCTCTTCTTTGGTTTATGCCAGTGGCCCACAGAGTACTCATGTGGAGCAAATATGGGATGGACGGGATAGAGCTGCTGTTGAGGACAGGGGCAGGAATGGACTGTCTTGTCCCTTAGAGACCTACGAGTGTTTGTGGGGAAGGGGGGTCCCATGGTGGAAAGTGAGAGGGTAGAGAGCTATAAGGCCAAACAGGAGCCAGGTAGTTGCTTCCCTATCCTACCCCCTACAGTGACCCCACCCCATCATACCCCCTTGTCAAGGCTTTCTGGGTCCTGGCCTACCTGGACCTAAATAATTGAGGAGCCCATTATAGCCTTGCTGTTTCCTCACTGTCAAGTGTAAACGCTGCACTGGTTGGGTGGGGAAATGGGGCTAATTTGAATTGATAATAGGAAACACGGGGAAAAGTCATCTATAGTGAGTGAGGAGCTCGAGATCCCCGAGCAGATGCTAAATCTTGTATAATGAAAGAATCTGCTGATGTCAATTATGTACGAGCGTCTTTGCAGTGGTTGGAGGCGGTGGGCGGGTGAGGGAACGGAGGGCCGGGTGCATCCCATAAACCCAAACACCCATCAAAGGCTCATACATATGGAGCGGTGGAGATTACAGCATAAATTTGAATGTTATGAATGTGGATGAGGGACAGGCAGGAAGTCCACCTCATAAGGGGTTAGGAAAGGGGCTGTTTTCCGTGCATGTGTACAAGGGAGCTTTTGTCCTCCTGGTTCCTCAGCTGTGTTTCCTCTGTGTCAGCTGTGTGCCCTCTGCACCCAGTTCTGTCCCAAGATGAGAAAGAAAGTCAGGATATGGGGGTGCTGGGACAGGGTAAGTTCAGCTGTTCTTCTGGGGTCTGGATGTGAGTCCCTTGCGAGCTCTGGGCCCAAACTGCCCGTGACCCATTCAAAGTGCTGCCAGGGTGTTTAGCTGGGCATGGTGGTGCATGCCTTTAGTTCCAGCTACTTGGGAGAGCTGAGGCAGGAGGATCACTTGAGCCTAGGAGGTTGAGGCTGCATTGAGCCAAGATTGTGCCACTGTATCCCATCCTGGCAACAGAGTGAGACATTGTCTCAAAAAAAGAGTGCTGCCAGGATAAGATCTAAACATCAATGTGACCAGAGATCCAGAGGGATATCCTGAAATATCTCTGATGTGACCACAACTTTCCCTCCCACCTGATGGAAGAGATGGGAAAGAGCAATGTAGGTGATGATGCTGATCACAGATTGGGCAGGGAGATCCTGGAAGACAGCCTGGAGGAAGAGGTCAAAAACTGTGCTATAAAGGTGGCTAGCAACTCAGAATGACAATATCAGCAGCACATCTTTCCATTCCTAAGTACAAGTCCTCATCACACATGGGATCAAATGTTTGTGAGTATACACGTGCATGCACACCCTTACCAGGGCCCAGACCCCTCCATCAGTTCCCAACCTGCAGCCGCTCCCTGAGCTGACTTCGTGATTTGTGGTGCAGGCCACCCAGGGACTTTAATCTTCACCGTGACAAATGCAATAAAAGGAACAATTTGGAGATCACAGCTAAGGAAGACACATTTACAAACCCTTCCCCAAAGGTTGGATGTGGCTGTCACCATGTGATTTGTGTGGAGATGAAGCAGGGAGGGGGGAGGGGGAGACAGAAAGCTGGAGAGGGAAGGCTGGGGAAGAGGCAGCATCCCCATCCCTCTCCTCCTCAGCATCTCTGCCGGATCACAGTGGAAGGGGCTAAGCTGGCAGAAGGAGGACTGGACCCACTGGCAGCCGCTGTCACCCTCCCCATCACGAGTGGGAGCACAATTCAATTACCAGGAACACAGCCCAGAACCACAAAGCTTCAGAGACTCATCTCAGCAGTTCTGGGGCTCTATCTAGAGGAGGGATGGTGGGGGGTGGAGAGGGTAGGGTTTGGAGAACAGGGAGAGAAAGGGAGAGGCAGAGTGGAAAAGCCATTTTAATAGAGACACAGTGACATCTCAAGTTGCAAAGGGAGCGCCCTAAGAAGCTCTAGTCTGAACAGGAAAGAGGAGGGGAGATTTTCCAATCACGGCTCCTCCATCAGGCCTATCTGGAGGGGTCCAAACATAGAGCAACAATGTGGGTGGAGGGGGCACTTAATAGGGACAAATCCATCGGGCAGGCAGAGAAGCCTGGAGTTCCATAGGATGAGGCCAAATTGAGGTCTTAAAACTAAGCTCCTGGAGGACTTGAGAAGGTAGGTGGTGCAGCCGGGAACTCATGTCCCCTCTGAGTCTCCTTTTCTCTATCTATACGATGAGTGTAGGCCAGATGATCGTAAGGTAGCTGCCTGCCCTGCATCTTGGACTCTCTGAGCCCCAGATGTCTTGGAGTCAATGACAGGAGACTGGGTAAGAGACACGAGTAGTAATCCACCTCTCGCTGACTCTGACTCTCTTGTGGCTGTAGTGGTTACTAACATATG